TGGGTACTGTTGCCCCGGGCCCGGCCCAGGGGGGGCCCGATCCGGTCCTGTATTAAGTAAATAAAGTATTTTAGAATTTTTAGGCATATATAAAACAGAGTCTATTACACTTGATGGGCCCTGATAAAATTAAATTGTATACTTATACAGAGACTTTCCTTTTTAATCGGTCCATAACATTAAAATAAAGTTAATTATATGTTTTGATTAATTAATGATTATATAAAATTTAGTCAATCATAATTTCTGCCACAATCGTACCTTTGAGGAATGAGTAAATTGGAACTTCTCTAAATACGCCCTCTATTCATCAATAATTGTATTTAAAGTAGTTAAAATAAAAAATCCTATGACTGATTGGATATAGAATTTTCGTTTCATGCTAATTTATGGCATTTTTATGGTTTTGTAATTGTTTGGTAATTACTTGGTAATTAAATAATTGGTTGGTATTATGAATACTTGAATTTTCAATTCTTAAATTACACTTTCTTTTATTTATTTGATTAAAATTAAATTAAATGTTGAATAAAACATAGTGATGCAAGAGTTCAGCCCCTTCAAGTGTTCTTATTCGAACACTGAACCTTGGTAGGAAATATAAATGATTTATTGTTTGGTAAGTAGTAGAGTTAGAGAAGGTTTAATAGTTTTATATTATCATAACCATCTTTAGTAAAAGTGGCGCTACGAAAAAAAAAAGGGGGGGGGGCATGGCCAGAATCTGGTCCCGGGCCCGACTTGGAGGTGTGGCGGCCCTGATATATGTCCAGTTTTATTTAGATTTATTTAGATTATATCACAGCGAATGTAGCCATGACACACTTCATGCAATCAAAGCAAATCTTTATTCGCCTTTGAATAAGGTGATACTCTCAGGCCATAGCTACACGTATTATAAAATCGTTGGGATTATATACTTGTTTCTGTAACATCTATATCATTTACTAGCTGTTCCCGCGACTTCGCTCGTGCCGTCTGTTATTCGACATGCAAAATATGTTGTATTCAAATCTAAATTGCATAAATATCTTTTTAAAATCATCATTATTTAGCTTATTATCCAACATATTCACTTATAAAATATTATTAATTTTGTATTTCACATATTTATATATTTTACCTTCATTATCATACTATTTTATTTAATTATTTTTGGCTTTCTTCTTTACTATTGGCACATTACCTTCGGTCTTTCTCTTCAAATGTTAAACGAATCAAAGGTTGTCAATGGTTTCTCCAACCTATCATTAGAACCAATATTATTAACTTAATAATAGGTAGAGGAAAAAGTTTCTTCGCATTTTATATGAAAATTTGAAATATTTTTAATTAAATTTATTTACATTTAATTCGATAACTTTTATCTATTTTATGGTCAATATCCAATTCTTCAGTTACGTCGCAACTAATGAAATGCCGATCTTGCTCCACTTTTTCAAAAGGGGCAACCATTTTATCCCTAGTAAGGTGATCGGAGCGACGTGAATCTTAGACATCAAAATTTCCGGACAAATTTTCCGGAAACCAAGTTTGTGCTACTCTCCCAGAAACTGCTCTAGGTCTATAAACGTCACATTTTTTTTTGCGCGGCTTGCTTTGCATTTTTACCTTTTTTTGTGATAAAATTTTAAAATATATCGAATTTCTTCATTAGATTCACTCATTTTGACAGTAAGAAAAACAAATAAAATCACATATTTTCCTCATTTAAATTCGGAGTTAGTAAGTCTTTAATGCTACCGAAACCAGCCAGATACAAATGGTATAGCCAAAAATATGTTATTACAAATGCATGCATACTATATGCGAAAAGACATTTTCTCCAACCTAATATTAATAGTTATGTGTGGTTAATAAAGTGTCTATCTATTTATTTCCAAAGATTACAAACAAAGTTAGAAATTTATAAAAAACTTTATAATATTAGTATAAATTGGAGTATTTTGTGTTAGTAAAAATTAACAAGAGAAGAGAGAAAAAGTGTAATAACAAATACACACACTGCAAAGTCCAAAAGTTCACGACAGAAGATAACATAAAAAGGTAATATGACATGAATAATTTAATAAAAGGAATTATAAAAATACTAATAAAACAAAATGATATGACACATGCTTAATTTACTTTTAAGGCAAAAACTATAAAATAAATAAAAATACCGGGAACTTCGTTTTCTTTCAAAAGGGAAAAAAATTCAAAATGTAGAGATTTCCTTTATTAAAGTGCGATGTGATACAAAAAATAGCATTTTGAGTTACAACAAAATGCGCCGTATCGCTATTTAATTTAATGAAACCAATTCACATACATATTTTGTTTTCCGGGTGACATTTTGTATCACTGACCACGACATGAAAAAATGTTCAATGAGAATTCCTATGTTTGTATTACCTACATTTTAAATGTCGAAGGCTACTTTTGAGTAAACATTGAAAAAAAAATCTTTAATATAGCAGCCACTGTAACTTCTTATATTACTTATCCTCGTTCAAATCTTTCCTAATATAGATAATTCTAAAACTTAAGTTTTGTTTTTTGTTTATTTATTTTATATTAATTTATTGTACCCGAAATTTCTATAGCGGCGTGTAAAAATGTCAAATAGAAAACATTACAGTGCCACAAATAGTGTAGTAATATAACCACTTAAACTTTCATAGTTACAAAGGTAACCAAAATATTTTTATCGCCTACGTCCTGGTTAGTATTATTTTTGTGATAGACACGTTTGAAATATTCCGAATCAAATTATGTTATTTATTTGTAAGCTAACTGCATCACTGCCCTAGATTGAGTGGGGTTTGGTTAAATATCAGGTGGAACTCCCGGTAATTCCTTGTCAGATACCAGAGCTCTGACACAAGAGGTCACACCATCAGAAGTTTTCTCGGTATGCTCGCTGCGTTTTGACCGCGAAACAGGAAAGCCCAATGCAGTTACGTCCACACTAAATATTGGTCTGGCTGGTGCGATAAACTATTTCCCTTTCAATTATAAAAAAGAAAAAGGTGAGGTTAGATATGGATCACCAATTTTCCGCACATGGAAACCTTGATCCCATTGCACATAAAAAGCTAACTGTCTCCAGTCAATTCAACTCAATATTTACTCAAGTTTTTAACGCCTTCACAGGTTTCATGGCGTGTTAATGATTCTCTAAAGCCAAAGCTCTGATAAAAACTCCCTTTTATTATAGCAATGCCAGTTTTATATGGTACTTTATTGAAATTTGCAAAGTCAAAAAGGATTATATTTTACAAGCTGTTTATTGTTTACGAGTTATGACAACATTTCTGCGAACACGATATTCACTTTAGAAGCAATTATTTTTGGTCGCCAAAGAAATAACTCACAGCGATTAAAGTAACAAGAAATCTAAATAAGATAATAAATTTGTTTTTCACATTACTGAGTTATTGGAAACAGAACTTTCTCAGAAAATTCAGGGCTGAATATTTATAAAAGAGAAAAAGAAATATGTTACTTATCGACTATTATTTTATTAACTTCAAATATATATTAATATTACTTTAAAAAATGTGAAAGACATCGTCAAAACCAATATAACCGACATATCGCAAATAAAACTTTTTTTAAATTATTTATTTAAATATAATAATGAATAGCAATGTCATCAATTATGAAATCATTGATTTCTTGAAACCAGCCTTCCGCCAGCGGCTTCGCTCGCGTTGTCCTGTTTTAAAAATATAAATCTTCTTAATGAAAAATTTTTTAGAAGATCATTTATGCCAGCTAGTGAGATGGGACTCGACCCGGGTTGCTTAATTGACGACTTAACGTAACCCGGGCTACTGCTGTAACCAGCTACCCAGGTCCTAACGCAACCCGGGGTACTGCTGTAACCAGCTACCTAGGACCTAACAGGACTGACGAATTTTCATCATAGTGTCGTGAATGCAGAATTAATAAATTATAATAAAAATCTTCCTCTAGAATCACTATTTACATTGATGAATAAGACATTGAAATTCGTTGTGTAGTTTTAAGGATCTTAGCGTACAGACAGCGGAAAGCTACTTTTTTATACTATCTAGTAGGAACAATATGAAAAAATCTTCGTATACAAAAAGCTTTAATAAGCTTATCTGGCTTACAGGAGTAGTAACAACATTTATGTAAACCTATTTCATTATCAAATTAACATCATTGATGCAGATTTGCTTGATGCGAATAGAATTTAAGTTACCTACCTATATTTTGGCCGACGAAGTTCTGATATCATCATCAGCCCTTTTACGTCCCCACTGCAGGGGCTCAGGCCTTCCTTATGGATGGTTAAGGAGGATGGGCCATGACCCTCCACGCTGGCCCAATGCGGATTGGAGGGTATTAACGACTGCAAATGCAGCCGGGACCAACGGCTTAACGTGCCTTCCGAAGCACGGAGTAGCTCGAGATAATAATTTTTTGATCACCCATCCCGTGACCGACCCTTGCGAAAGTTGCTTAACGACAATGATCGCGGGCCGCGGCGCTTATCCACTACGCCATATAAGAAATTATATTTTAAAAAAGAAAAATATGAAAGTTATAATTGATATTAATTGTCTATCTTTAATTAGACTTATTTAGATTAAACCACAAAAGTTTGATGTCTTAGTATTAGTCAAACCATTGTGGCTAATCTTGCAAAATATGGTCAGTGATCAATGATAATGCTGTTACTTTATGCCATTTAATCTATACATAGTATAAAATAAAGCCGATCCTAGCTGTCTGTACGCTAAGTTCTCCTAAACTAGACAAAATATATTATGCGGTTTTTAATCAATATACAGATTGAAGCATGACGAAGGTCTGTATGTATAATATAAGATTACGCGGGCAAAGCCGCTGGCGGAAAGCTAGTCTAGGATAAAACTAAGATCAAAATGAAACAGAAAGATGGCAAGACGAACGATTACCTAAGACCCTAAATTAAAAAAGAAAAAGAAAATACTCGATACTGCAGGTTGTAGCAACCCTGGTCATTAGAGGAAAGCTATATGTATCCAATGGGACGGCAACAGAGGTGAACGCTACTCCTAACATTTTTAATCCGGTTCTCTGCGCCCGCGCATCACTCGTCAACTCGCAACCGCCGCCCGCGCAAGTGCCCGTTACATTGGGATTGCAATTATTATTAACAGAATTAATTATTGGTAATCAATATGTACAAGTCACTGGTTCTTTTGTGTGTTTTATACTGTGTAGTTATTGGTGAGTATATATTTTTTAAATAATTATTTTTCAAATAAATATTTAAGATTCAATTCTACATCGAATATGTATTATGTTTTAATACCATTCAAACTCAAGAAAATTTGTACTAAAAGCTTCAATTCGAATTCAAATACACGTGAAAATTATAGTTAAAAACTTCACATGTAAATGGTTTACCCACAATATCTGGTGGAAAACACGGTTAGTATTAAGTCACATTTCGACCACTATCATTAGTCAATAATGATCGACAAAAAATCTTATAAATTTTAAACAGAACAGTGCTATGACGCAAATCAATTACTTTTGTTAGAAAATATTGCTTTTTTTTCTCTGAAGAAATCGTGACTGATTTTACTATTAAAGTTTAGCGAAACGAAACAAGTCTTATTTCCTGGGAACAAAAGCTCCAATTAAACAACTAATGCGCTTATACAAAAACCTGTCGACATTCTAATTATTGCTGTATGGTATACATTAAGTGTTGTTATCTGAAGTTAAAGTCACGTCGGCGAATCGTGAGATTATCCTTTCCGTGATCGTGCAAGGAGGTTTCAATCATTACAATGAAACCTAAGTAGGTGTTAATTATAACAATTAAATAATAAAAATAAAATATCGGGTCTTTAATAAAAGGATTGCTTATCGAAATTTCGAATTAAGAATAAAATAAAGGAAAAAAACACACTTCATATTTAATAACCATATCGTTAACAATGAAAGCATGCTTCACTGCATCAAATCGTATATCAAAAACATGAAGTAATTTAAGCCTATTTTATATTATATTAGCTTTCCACCAGTAGCTTTTACCGCATGCTCCTGTATTATACAATTAAACCGTCATCTTGAATCACTCTGTATATTAATGAAAACCGAATTAAAATCCATTGTGTAGCTTAATAAATCTCAGCGTACAGACAGCGGGAAGCGACTTTGTTTTATAATATGTAGAGATCAAATCTCTGGTTTCTTGTAATGAGTTATTACTTTTATACAACTTAAAAACTGCAAGTGAAACTCGTTTTTTGGCATTTTCACTGTCAAAAGAAGTGACATTAAAAAAAACACGACCTCCAGGGAAAAGAATTCGAAACCTTAGAATATGAAGAACATAAGACCCAGCAGGTATTCTTATTAGAATAAAGATAAAGCATTTATTTGCATCATAATAATTGCACTGATACAATATTAACAAAACAAAGAAATCTTATTAGATGTAACTACATATTTGATTTTTCATCGACTACTATCGACGCATATAATTTATTTTACTAATGTTAAATATGCTAATGTGTCACAACAATGCTAATAGACAAAAGCTCAGCGGTAAATCTGCCTAAGGAGAGTGAACTCAGATTTTTCAGTATAGTACACTGGAATTCTTTAATTAAATAAATTATTAATTACTTACTTTTAATTCTCTTTATTTCTATCAAATATTTTATTTTTATTTAAAATGAATAAAAGGTTAATTTACTGTGAAAAATAAAAATCATGATCTTTGATCTTTTCAATAATATGCTCTTAAGTATAAACTTAAAGAGCATGCAGGTCGTTCCTACTGAATAGTCGTTGCGAATTGCAAAAACAAACTGCGATCATAGCAGCGATAAACTGAGTTATTGGGTTATCAACAGAACTACACTAACCATGAGAAATGTGATCAGTAATTGAACACTTTGGTTAATGATCACAAGTAAATTTTAAAGTTTAATGGACTTTATTTAAATATAGAAAAATTAAAGATCAACGAGAATCAATTACGTGTTTGATATCTAATTAATAATAATGAAAACCATTTATTTGGGACAAAAAAGATTTAATGAAACATAGTCACATTTGGAAGGATTTTTTTAAACCAAAAAGGTTCAATCTCATCGGTTAAGACAATAAAACATTTTAAAGCATAAAAAATTCCACCAAAGCTATTCCGTGGTTCTTGCCTAAATTTACATTAGTATATACTTTTATATTAGTAAAACTTTTACCTACTTACTTTACTTATCACCTAAAAAATATCTTGTTCTTCCAAAGAGCATAAAAAATCATTGTAAACTTTAATCTTGTAAAGAAATGGACCTGTAACATTTCTGTGATTATACCAAATAGTTTTAATGTAAAGATGAGATGGCCGGATAAATACGAGGGGATTTTATAAGAACATTCCTGTACATTTTAATTTAAACAGTTATCCTGTTTGAAATAACATGGTTTGGTCAGCAAATTTAACTTTATAATATCTGAATTATCTGAATAACTAACTAAGCTTAGAGTAGTTAACATAAAATAAACTATCGATTTTTATATTTTTCTATTGATAATCGCAAAGCTTAATTTAATTTTACACCAGGGAAGCTCTAGAGCGATCGTTACAGTATTATGTGGTCACGCCAAAGTCACGAATTTGATTGTTGCTGAGAATGTAAGCCATTTAGCATCGTTCTCGTTTTCATCGTGTTCAAAGTTTTCTTGTTCTGATACAGCCAATAAATAATTTTAGATACCGAATCATTCGCTTAACCTTATACCTATCGATTTATCTATTAAATTACTCATCACTAAGTTATTTCACGATCTTTTTTGTTAAGATAATAATTTGAAAGATTTATAAATTAATATGTGCCACATTCAATTCGAAAGAGACGATGATATCATTGTTATTACTGGAAAAGGTGCGCAAGACGAAATCGTTAAGACAAAAAGTTAATTGGTCTAACCACGAAACAGGTTAACGTCAAAAGGTTTACTCTTTCAATTACCACTGCTGGTAAAAACCGCGTGAAAGCTTACGACACTGGAACAAAGTTTACGACGGAAAACGTACATAGCGATAAAAATTTTGTAACAACCCGTGATGATAATGGAATTTTATAATAATGCAAAAACAAACACGATCGACCAGTCCCGACTCGAACGTAGGTTATACACCACTAGACAGGGCAATGACACCAGTTACGTCCCTCTTTTTCATAGATCAAAAGAAAAAGAGGGAAAGACCATGGGGTATCATGATCTGTGTAGTATGATTATCACTACCAGCTTTGTTTTTCATAAGCTTATACTATTATTACGTATATTAATTACTAGCTGTTGCCTGGAACTTTATCCGCATGGTTATGAATTAAACTAGGAACCCCGAAAAACAACCTCTTAATAGTCGGATTTCAAAATCTTGTGAGCACTTACGTCCAAAAAATTCCTCATTCAAATTTAAATCGTCTAGCACTTGTAGTTTCTGAGATATTGTGATGAGACCTTACGCTTTTATATGTATAGAAATAAATTTTACATAACAATTACCCATCCAATACTTTTATATTTTATGCCGCCATTATTGTACCACTCAAAAATTTGCTAACATTTTTTTATGATTCAATACAGAACAAAATTTAGAATCATCAAACGCGAACCCAATAAACTTTATCAGAGTATTTTTACTTTAATTAAAATCAGAGAAAAAAAACGCCAAAATTAAGAAAAGAGTTTACTGATTCTAGATCTATAACCCATTTAAAATGAAGTAATTTTTACTGTATAATTTTCTACCTTAGGAACTCATCATCATAAATTACTCAGAACATCGTTTATTCATTTTCTTATTTTCCACGACTTAACTCTTTCAGAGAAATTTAGAAAACCTGAATAAATTTTATACGGCTATATGTTAGCATCAACTTCTAAATATGGATTACATATAACTGGTATTGACTATTTAACAACGACCATAGATTTTTCCTACTGACCTATTTTGAGGGTATTTGCTTACAAGTAAACTAGTAGATGCAACGACGTAATGGATTTGTTCATTTCAAAAATTTTACGAAAAGACAAAACAATAATTTGAGTAAAAAAAAACAGATTTTCCTACTGACCTATTTTCAGGGTATTTGCTTACAAGTAAGCTAGTAGGTGCAACGAAGTAATGGATTTGTTCATTTCAAAAATTTTACGAAAAGACAAAACAATAATTTGAGTAAAAAAAAAAACAGATTTTCCTACTGACCTATTTTCAGGGTATTTGCTTACAAGTAAGCTAGTAGGTGCAACAAAGTAATGGATTTGTTCATTTCAAAAATTTTACGAAAAGACAAAACAATAATTTGAGTAAAAAAAAACAGATTTTCCTACTGACCTATTTTCAGGGTCATTGCTTACAAGTAAGCTAGTAGGTGCAACGACGTAATGTATTTGTTCATTTCAAAAATTTTGCGAGGAGGCAAAATAATAATTTGAGTAAAAAAAAAACAGATTTTCCTACTGACCTATTTTCAGGGTCATTGCTTACAAGTAAGCTAGTAGGTGCAACGACGTAATGGATTTGTTCATTTCAAAAATTTTGCGAAGAGGCAAAATAATAATTTGAGTAAAAAACAGTTTGTATGCAACATAGCACTTAGAAAAATATAGATATAGCTACTAAAAATATTACAACATACAACATAGACAACATCATATAGGCACATTGCTCATATTCCAATATAAGTGACAAAAGCTACGGCTTTCGATCTCGTATCAATGTACAAAATCAACTTTTCTATATTGTCTATTTTTACTACGTAACTTAAGTTGATTAATCTGTTGAAATGCAGTTCTGATTAAGGAGTTATTTTGATACAGGCTGTGGCAGATAAATCAGGGCTTTAATTACGTGGTACCGTAGCGTGGAGCCATGGAAACTGAACCTGGGACCCTAAAGCTTTTTTTTTAAACAAACATATCAGATTCTAGGTTAAGGAGCAAAAGCTCTCGTATTATGGAGTAACAGGGACAACGAAGGTAACACAGACCAGAGACAATATAGAAAAGTTCATTTTCTACACTCATAGAAGGCGATATCCTGAAACTGGCTCAGCTACGCAGTTGGTCATTGTGATATTAAGTCTTTAGGATAACACAGGAATTATTTCTATACATATAAATACATACTATGTAGCTTCCGTCTATGTCTCCATGACCGGGTTAAAGAGTTCAACATGATCATAAGCAACTGCGTATAAGCTATTTTTGGATCATTCACAAACATACTGATAGCACCGAGAATAATGTTTAATGAATATATACATATGCGTTTTACTAAGAAAACTTAATTAAATAGTGATAGCGTGAAAAAAGGCACTAAGATATGTTTTGACCTTTACAGAATATGATCGACATTAGCATGTAATCTTTGTTAATTCTTCAAATTGAATGAAAAACAATCGACTGAACCTCCATAGCGGAGTGGTTCGCATGCTGGTATCAAGATGTCGACATTTCTGGGGCTCCGATTTAGATCCTGGTTTGGTCAATATAGAAAATAAACTTTTCTGTATTGTCTCGGGTCTGTGCGTTGTGATAAATACCTTCGTCGCTTAAAATTTTATTACAAACAGATGTAGTGTAGGGATGATGAGTCTTTTTTGTCTGTTAGGTAGATAAATTATTGAAGAATTTAAACACTTTTTTTTGCGTAATTAATAAATTTAACGACAATATTGAGTTAAAATGCCACATGATGTACTTTGTACATTTTAAAGCATGTATAGTGTGGCAATGTATATCGTTTTATGTTTTGAGCCTTAAACGGTTGCGTTTAAATGTATGCAACATCAGTGATTATATATGTTATATGGTGGCGTGGAAGTCAACAAAGCCTGTTTTGCTACCATTTTGTCTCTAAAACAGCCAGTAGCTTTTTTATTTAACGCTGTGTTTATTTAATTTTTAGTTTGCAAACATTATCAACTGAAAAAAATACATAGCCGTCGAACATATAACTTCCTCGTTTTCGATTTTGAAATCGATTAAAACAAAGTGATCAAACTACATAAATAGTGTTTTCTCGTTTAGATCATGTTAGCTTTTGTCAATCATTGGCTTTTGTTTTATGTTTCATATAAATTTGATAATAACAATGCTATAGTAATGATCCTGCAAAAACCAAGATCTCCCAGGATTGAAAATGTCCAGTCCCGTAAATACCAATATGGTATATTAGGCCTAGGCTTGGAAGCCCTAGTGAAAAAGTCCTCCATATAGTTGTTATATGAATTGCCACGTAAAGAAAGCAATGATTTGTTACAACGTACATGTCATATATTGCATTATCACATCACACGTGCAGTTAATGCATTACTACCTAACAGTTTCTTATTGTCTGTATTATATTTCTAATTTATAAGATACACACGTGATAAAAAAAGGTGTCATTACATTATTAGACAAATTTCAGTGCATAGTTGCCTTAACTTAAGCATTCGGCGACGTATTTTTTTTTTTTTGAAATAAGAAATATCTTCATAATTCACAACTGGCTACCTAGCAATTTTGTAAACGTTTATCTTAAACGATTTAAGACCATAAACATCTGCGTATCTAACATGATTTCACACGTGCAACATTGCATTCATTCGTTGCCGTTTTAAGTATCTACATTCTGTAATATACTTACTTAATTTGTATATTAAATACTAGCTGACCTTTACTTACATGCTATTCAATTTGTAAGGGAAAATAAAGTGTCGTTTATACTAATTTCCTATCAATTGTTTATATGTTTATCTCAAAAGAATCCTATTGAAATCACTAGTTATACCTATACAACGTTCTAAAACATTAATCGTTTATTCTCTAACTAAACAAGGTTTAGCGTTGGAGTAAATTTTCGCTGAGACTGCACTTTGTGTTAGTCAAAATTCATATTATTAAACGGAGACTTAGCAAAGGTTAATCTAGTAAAAGGTTAATATGAATTTGGACTAAAACTAAAATTATAATTTTAGCGTAAATTTACTCTTTTTACCCTGTTTTATTAATAGCACTTTTAATCTTTATGAAATAAATACATAACTAAAAATCTTAGATAGTGGTCTAAAAACAAACTCAACTAAATCTGAACTTAATCACATTGCAATCTATGTAGTCCTCAATTCTAGTGCCACCACCTACATTGAGTGAGCATCTCGGTCTGCCAAGCACCATACACTTAATTTTACGATGACAACTCAATAAATCAATAAACATATTTAGATCCCGTTTTACCGACAGAAGTAGACAATCTGGGGCAAGATGTGAAAATCTATCATTTATGACGAGAAGAACCAAAGTGACAAACACACGAACATCAAACTTATTTGTAGCGGCTGTAAGTTTACATTAGGTACTACTTTATTATAAGTACAGCGAGAGAACGTTTCGGGTACAGTTAGAGATTTGACAAGCAAAAAGTCTTGAGCCTTGGAGAAGGTGCGCACCGTTAGGCGAAAGTATGCGCACACACTCCATATAAGTATTTAGGGGTATGTACTTGTTGCTGTGCGGATCCACCTGTAGGAAACCACAGAAATAAAGAGTAAGAACAACAAGAACAAAATGTAATCTATAGAACATATGCTTATAGGTACCAATTACATCCATTATTTCCATTAATCTTTATTTTATCTGGCGCGTTTTAGAACATAAAAAGGGACCTTTGTAGCAGAGTGGTTCGCACGCTGATTTCAAGATGTCACCATCTCTGAGGTCCCGGGTTCGATTCCCGGTTGGGTAATGTAGAAAATGCGCTTTTCTCTATAGTCTCAGATCTAGGTGTTGTGGTGCCGTCGTTGTCTCAGATAGTCCATAACACGGGGGCTTTAACTACTTATCTTGGAATCTGAGCAATGTATGTGATGTTGTTTAATATTTATTATTATTAATTAGAATATCTATTTATTAATAAATCCTGACTATTCCAATATGACCGTTTTCATTGGACTTCAACACCAATAAAGAGAAATTAAGTTATTAGTAGACATAAAAGTAAGATTTCTTTTATATTAAGGCACCGAAATTGTTTTACCAAAACAGTCTGAGAACTTATTTATTCTAATTTTGTTTTTGCTCATAAAGTTTTTTATTATTGTTTGAACTCCGAAATTTATCTAACTACCTGTCATAAGAAGTTCATATGGTCATTGCACTCATACATTACATAAGTATAGATTAGAATTCCTAAAATGACTACTAACTACACGTCTAACGATTGTTAATTATTGAATTTATGAAATTATACTGACTTCAAAACAGTAAAAAATAATTATTATATTATATCTTATCTTGCTTATCATAAATAAATGGTGCATATGTTTAAACAACTTGTAATTATTAAAATCAGGCAAAGGTTTTGCCAAGATTAATATAACCCGTTCAACTTCAATAAAAGAATAGAAGACATACTCGTAAATAGGTCATCTCAGTAATTTGCTAAACAGATTTCTATAAAATTATAATGGGACCACATCGTTTTTCGAACCTTCCCCTTTTTTATTTTGGTATTAGTTAAAAGTTACTGAATAGGTAATAATTTATTAATATTTCTGAATGCTGAACTAATAAAAAAATATTATCTGTGTATAATTTTTTCCTTATGGTTGGGTAGGTAACTAATCAAGATATTATTTAAAGGAATAATTTGTACACTGTTAACAAATGTTTCCTACAAACTTCGGCGTACTTAAACTCTACTAATCTTTAATCTACACTAATCGCTCTCTACATGTTACATTTTCACGTTTAAACTAGAGAAAGAACCAATTTTAATAATTATAATAATTATACAACCAAAAATAAACTTAAAAGATTTTGAAGGTGAAGCCGAGGGATATTGTGGAGGGAATCTTTTGTAATATTTTATTTTTAAATATTTGTTTATTTATACTTAAATTAAAACTTCTATTTATCAACATGTTGCGAACAAACTGTAGGTATATAGACAAAATTAGGTTGTCCACCTCTGGGTTTAACGTGGTGTGTTTTTTTTTGACCCGGGAAAATGCATTACGCTCTTATTATCTCACTTTCACAAGAGATGATGGTATTTCTGTTGTGCTATAAGAACACATAAGAACCGAATAAAATTAATATTTACTGGCTTTTTTATCTGTAGTTGTTTCCCCGCGTAAATTATAACCTATGTCACATAATTGTCAATTTTCTTTTTAAATCAGGCCAATAGTTTCGGAACCTATTTGATGCAAACAAACAATCAAATCCTTCCTCTTTAAATTAGTATAATTACAGTATAATTAATAACTATGCTAATTTGTTAAAAAAAAATCCTGACCTCAACTTTTTGAATAGCGCTATGACAGAATAGAGAATAAACGATTAATGTTTTAGTGAAATAAAAACAATACTTAATGAATATGCATTAAAAGCACACGTTAATTAAATAAAAATTCCCTTCAAGCTCACTCTACATTATCAGGCACAAAATGGGTACACTTACCGGCTAATCTCAGGATGCGAAGAAATAAGATAGCTTCAATAAGTTAATGACCTATCAAGGAAAACGGTTTACAATCGAGCTAGCCATTATCTAGGCATTAGCGAATTTACGATGCACCATCCCATGTGCCAGCCGCATGAAACAAACGCATTCAACGTTATCTTCGACTCGACTTATATGACCTTAATACGCTAAACACAGAGGTCATATTTCAATGGAAACATTTGATTCGCTGCGCGACCGAAATTTGTTTTCGCAATTGACGAATTGCAACTTGTTAGTGTAGATAGAGACGCGTGGTTAAATAGGTACCAGTTGTTTTTTTTTTGTACTATTTCTAGTATCAAATATTATAATACTGCTAATAGGACAAATGACCTGGTTTTAGTTATCTCAATTGAATCTCAACTATTTGCCCTATGGTCGTACAATGGCGAAATGCAAGTAGTTGAAGCTCTATTGAGATGCAAATATTACGTAAACAGAATTGGCGTTGAATCTCAAATCTGCTAATTATTTATTTTAAAAGTAAAAAAGAAAATCCTTTTTGTATATTAGTATAAAAAAAAATTAAACGAAAAGATATTGTTTTTATTAAAGCACATTTAAAAATGTACCATAATCTCTTTTCAATTGTTACAGAGGCCCGTCCAAAATGGCAGTTCCTACCGCCCGTACCCGGTTACGTCCCAGTCTACATCAGAACCGGGGACACACCCCTAGAAGAAATTAACCCAGAGTTAGCTGAGGCGTTCCACGCCCTACCCGCCGGCAGGAGTGTCGGCAAACATGTAGAAGCCTCCCCAGAAATTCCAGAACAACCTCAAGGAGACCAGCCCCAACCAGAGGTCCCCCAACCGTCTGAAGACATCGTAGACCATCGCCCTTACGAAAAGAAAGCTCTAGAAAAGAAAAAAAAAGCAACCGAAATCACTAAACCAATCGAACGTAGATAAAATGTGATCATCGTCTCTAAATTATTTTGTGTACTTATTATTAAGATAACTTTTAAGCTCATTATGTGTAGAAGTTACACTTCTTGAAAACAACGAATAAATACTCAAGTTTTTTTCAAAAAACAGCTTGCCATTCGCTTTACTAATTTCTACCTATTTATTAGTAATAAACTTATGTAATTGTATTTAAGTAAATAATTTATTCTTAATATGTTTTATTTACTCAAACCACAAATGAAATAACACCTATACTTGGTCAAACCACATCAAGCTTAGCTTTCATATGTTTAGAAATCGAAATCCAAGATCAGAAAAAAATACGATTAATTATTTTATAGCAAATTACATAAATTCTATTTCACAGTAATCCAGAAATAAAAAATATTGTATGTGAGAGATTATGGCAGTTTAGGTGTCGATCCCTTCATATTATAAAAGTGACATTACTTTTCTTCTAATGCGCCTTTTGGCGCCATTACTTAATACCTATTTTAGTTTGACTAAAATTATTAAAAACTTTTGATAAATCTCTCTCCCCACAGATCTCATTTAAGTAACTGAAGCACTTGTATTATGTAAATTTTTAAAAATCAAAAGTTGTTTTTCATTGCCTATACAATGAAAAACAATTCAGCCAATCTTCTATAAAAAGCATAGACACTGCCACCAATGATATGGAAGAAAATATGTAGAAGGTAGATAGTTCCAATAAATAACATCACCACAGGCTGCAAGTGACAAATCTTAGTTTTATAAAAGACTCTTAAAGCCTTATTTTTACCATAAAGCAAAGTTTTAATATTTAATTAATTCAAAATATCTGACAGTTATGAATTAATGTAGCAACTAATATGACATCATAATACCACTGAGTTCATTTAATTTTATAAGAACTTAAAATCAAACACCGTTGTTACAACTCAATTCTTTATTTTATTTTTATTATTAAATTACATTACACTCACCATTTGAATAATACTTATTTACTCTTTTACTCTATCTTGAACATTCTCAATCACACAACGCACTATATTTACACATAACATTTCTTTTAATAACAAAAAAATATTATTATTTAACATAATTACAGTCATCACGGTATACGACTTCAATGAAATAGGATTAATGTAGACTGAAAATAAGAAAACGCTAGTTACAATAAATATGGAGAAAAATAATGAAATAAGTACAGTAACACTAGGTTTTAAGAACATATTAAGTACGCCACAGAAATAAATCAAGATCGAATGACCAGAAGGCGGGACCACCGTGCCAATATTTCCTATTTTTTATTATTAAATATCTACAAAAATGAAGTGGTTCACTTCACTAAAACACGATTTGGCCGCCTTATAACCAATATAATCTATAATATTTCTGTGGCGTACGCAGTATTCGCATAATCCAGACAAGTTATATTTTACTTTGTCAAAGAATAGCGTATTCGATACAATTCCCATTTTCTAAAAACGTAAACCTGTTTCGTGCACCTAGAACTTCGTACAAACTTGCAAACTTGCGTTATTAGAAAACGGTAAATTAACAAAAATACTCGGCTTTAATTTTCTCAATTACGACATTTTCTCAAGTAATTACTTCTCTTTACTATAGTGTCACATATCATAATATAATAATACATGTGGTAGCACTATATTTTATTGTAATTATTATTATATAACCATATTTATTAACATAACTCAATATAACATCTCCAAAATCATGAAATATAAGCTGATTTTCAACATTCTATATCAATGGTATGAATAAGTTATTGAATTCTGAAAATGGTGTAATAGTCTACATTCAGTGATTTGAGAGTTTTGTGCTTTGTGTAATTTAGAAATAATTGTTACTTTATTAAAAAATCTATAAAATGTAGCTTTGACGTTACAACTTAAAAGACTGTTTTGATTGAATTGTCTTAAGAGTGCGCATAATGCTGATGAAAATTTAAATGAAATCACGAGATCTGTGAATGGAAGACCAGTGGATGATGAATTAATGACGTATAACGCTGAAAATAAGGATCAAAAAGATTCTTGATTAATCAAAAAGTATTTAAACAAAAATCGAATCTCAAGTTTCTAATTTATAAAAAAGAATATGCCTAATAACAACAACAATAAATTATATCGTTGGTAAAGATAACTTTTTATATCATATTTTGGCCTCGTGCTTTCTGAGCAATGTGAAGTAGCTTTCTCAATTGATATAAGTAATTTCAATTATGCGTCCTCTTAAAAACTATGTTTCCTACATCTTGGTTCACATACATTACATTTGCTATAAATTTAAGAATATCCGCGCGTTTCTAACCTTCACAAACAGTCGGCAAGGAAGCAATATCGTAAGGGTTCTCTTTTCTTTACAGGTGCAGTCAACTACTCGTCAGACTATACATAACTGTCAAATTTCCCAACTCAAGTTTAAACCTTAATCCATTGCTGGTAGCGGTCAAGGTCCATTGCAGATATTTAACATATAGTGGTGACCTGACATGCAGACCAGGGGGCCAATTCTCTAAATAAATTTTAGTTCTATTTTAGCTGGAATTGTATCGTATGTTACTAAGTAGAATAGGAAAACCATTAAAAACTGTAGTTTCGTTCGGTTTCGATCCGTTTTCGATTCGATTTGAACAAAATTTGTTTAGTAGAATTGGCCCCCTGTATTGTATAAACACCCTTAAAAATACAGTATGTCAGATTTAGTGTTATTTCTACTAAACATCGTGTAAAACAATATAAAAAATAGCATCAATATTTTGTATGACAATAATAAAACTTTTCTCTAACACTAATACTTAACTTACTAAGACCGCCTCATAGTTAACATTACGTTGATTTCCCAAATAATAGTTCTTAGATTAGTTATCACTTCCTTCAACTGTTTATTTTTTAACACCACCTGTAAAGAAATATATGAACAATTAAGCATTATATAGGATGTTGTGTCAAACATTCATAATTCATTTTTTGAATTCTGTACGCAATGTGTAAAACGGAACCCTATTACTGACTTCGCTGTTGTGTGAAAGTAAAAGTTTGTCAGTCCTGTTAGGTCCTGGGTTGCTCAGTGGTTAGAGCAGTCGCCCGATTTGCGAAAGGTCGTGAAAAATTTGCAATCGAGAGTTTGAGCTTATTTATGAGGCCCACGGTTAGCGAATATATAAGAGGACGATCTCTCCAGTTCCATAGCTGCTGTTATTGCTTAGTGGAATTTGGTGGAAAAGATCACCTCTTTTACTTGGTCGGAGCAACTGTTGGCGATTAGCCTCGTGTTCTTTAGTCTTCTGTATGCGGGTATAAGCAGTAATCGAAAATAAATACGTTTTTCTTTCTGGTTGTATTTAATATACTATTACCTATAATCACACTTTTATCCTTAGTATATTTATATTAAATCATGTAGTTATCAAGAAAAAAGTAAATAAGTTGAATATAGTTGAAATATAATATTATGTTTTTTTTGGTTACCTGTTCTGTGAGTTCTCTGTTTTCCTCGAGAGCAAGTCTGTAAGATTCTGTATTCCGTCTCTCGTCTAATGTCTTGTTCTCCGCTTCATCTTTCAGAGGAATGAGGCTCTCCATATGTGTGTACTCCATACCCTGAATATATATATCGTGAATATTAAACGAAAGATATCTTATTCAGACATGGAAACATCGTATCGCTTAAATAGGCATGATGACAAATTTTTGTATGTTTATCCGACAGCTAGATTATTGAAGGATATTAAACAAGTATTTTTATTTTGTCCATAATAAATAAATTATGAATTGAATAAATATATACATTGAATTGAAATGTTAACATTCGTCTTTCCGTCAATAATTGTCGCGATATTAGCTAAATAAATGGTGTATCATAAGTTTCCAAAGCTATTAAGAACTTTTAAGAGTATCTTTTCTTTGAGTAGCATACCTGGCAAGTTTCGTTACACTTCTCGTAGATGAGCCTCAGCCGTTTGAACAGTAAGCGGATCGTGCGGAGTTGTTCTTGCATTTTAGCTTTCTTGTCATTACTGGCGTTTTCGCCGTGCTGTGTACCGTTGGGCGGCTATAAAAAAAAACCGAATAAACTACAATTCAAAACAAAATATCCCTCATTCAAAAATGCTTATTTGAAAGCAGTTTTGACAATCCTTTCGTCTTTCGATTAAAAAAAAGGATTAATAAAACCCAAAAATTTTAAGTAATCAATGCATGCCTCTCCTAGATGTTGTTAATTTTTTAATATACTTAAACAGAAAAAAATTGTGTCGATTTTTTTAATACAATAAGTATTTGTATTTGTGGGGTTGTATATTTGTCCTTTTCTAATGTGTAAACTAAACCAAGCTCTTATTTCTATTTTTATATGAAACTTACTTGAATAGCCTTTAAAGTCTGAAAAACGTCTTGTGTTCTACTGACGATATCTTGTACTGTTTCTTGACCAAATCTGGAAACCAATTTAATAGTAAACTGAATTTAAAGTTTCACTACATAAATAAAAATTAAATTACTGCATGAATACAATATTTGGCAACTTCCACGCTCGACGGTATATAAGTCCGGAAATTGTTAATGCGCTGGAACTTTGTCCAATAAAACCCGCGTGACGTCATTTGATTTGAATATAAAGTATTGATAGCAGAAAATGCAAGAGATAATTTATTTATTAATTATTGAAATACTTATGAATAATCCCCAAAATGTATTACAATAAATTATTAACTTTCAGTCTATTAAGTTATTGAATTTTTTTTATATAAATTTTTATCTGCAAATTATTTGGAAACAAAAAAAAATTGAAAAGATTACATTAACATTGTAATAACGTCTTTTAAAACATCGAAATTATTAAATGAGTGATAATAGATATATTATTTTTTGTGAAATAAGATTTACTTTTTGTAGAAATCATAATAGCAGTTGCTATTTTTGTCAACCATAACAAGTAAAATCAAAACTTAACAATTACAATCGAAAACAACAAAAATATAACTAAACAGTGTGTAACCTCAACACAACGGAACTCAATAAGTGTATTCGCCAACCAGTGTTTATTTGTTAACGGTACTGATTGTTGAACACAATTACGTCACCAAAATGCCGGCCAGGTGCATTAGCAATTTGCGGGGATTTAATTCAGTAATAATGTAGTCAGACAAAAATATGATCTGACACCCTACAGTTGGGGTCTGTCAGGAAACAACACAGCTATGATTAATTCAACTGTCAGGCACCACAATTAACAGAAAACACATCATAATTAAGTATCTAAACGCTAATATAAAAGTTAACTTTAGGCAAAAATTTGATCTCATAAAAACTGACAAAACAGATCTTTGATAAATGATTGTATACAATAGCTAATCTATACTAACATTATAAAAAGTTTAGGCTCCAAAACTACTGGACAGATTCTAAAGTGTATTTCACCTATAGAAAACTACAAAACAGACAGGTGACAAATTTACACTTATAAAGTAAGCACATGAAGTCACAATAAAACAGATACCTTTTTAATAGATATCCTAAAATGTTGTATTTCGAATTTCATTAAACATTTTATACTTAGTGTAATATTCAATAATAATATAAAGTGAATGTCAGTTTGTTTGATATGTCATAATTAGAACATACTTGCAGAGAGAGGCGGTGTTGAACTCCTTGTTCTGTGGCGGGGGGGCAGCAGGCGCAGCCGGCACTGCCGCTGCCACCGTACCAGTCGGCTGCATACCACCTGATAAAACAATACTATGAAAAAACAGATATAATGGTAATCCTATTAATATTATAAATGTCAAAGTTTCTTTGTTTGGATTTTTATCTGAAACTACTGAACAGATTTTGATGAAATTTGATATTAATAGGATAATATAAAAAGGCTATTATACTAGGCGGAAAGCTAGTATAATAGTAATGTTTAGTAATTGGTTTATAAAATAGTAATGCACTACCTAACCCTATCTCATTAGACTATAGGCATTACCATACAAAAACTATATAGACCCATTGTGGTCTCTTTCTTTGCAATCCATAAGAGCAGACAATATAAAGAGTGAATAAGTAATATCAGCGCTGATAGATAACTACCTGGTTGCTGTACAGCTTGTGGTCCTAAACCACCACCAGGTGCACCACCAACACCCACACCCATGCTCTGAAACAGATACATACAGATATACACATGAGTTAAACAGATTTACAAAAAAACATGTTTAATATATAACACTCAACATACTATTTAAAAATCATGTTATTTTAAAACTTCATATTACACTTTTTTTATTTCGTTAATGAGAAAAAAATTGCTTACATTAAATTTCTTAGTAAAGTCATTTAGAATATGTTCAAGCTATGTATGAATTTGAATGCAAACTGTAATCAGGTTCACTGTCAAGCCAGTGAATATGAAACTAAACCAATTTTATATATTTTCATTCACATATACCATCTAGATTTTAAAACAACAGTTAAAAATCTATCAAAGCCAATAATAGATGTAACATAGTTGTACCTGAGAGCCCATACCCATGTTGCCCATTTGATTTTGCATAGCTGCACCATATGGTGTGACCATTTGATTTCCCATTCCCACCATTCCACCTGTATTTGCCATCGGACCACCCATGACTCCTGAAGAATTAAAATATATGTTTTATGATAAATTATTGTTAAATCTTATTTATTATTTGCAAGTCTAATCATCAATTGAGGGACTATAGGAAAACAATAACAAATATTGTCAACGTTATAGATTTCCTAAAGCTTTATAGATGCTTTACAAATGAAATATATTCACTAACATCATGATTTTGACTTAAATTTTTAAAACGACATTGGCGAAAAGAAACTTTATTTAAACCATGTGAGCATTGTCATCATCTTTGGTGTCGCTCACATAGGTTTTAAGTTGTTAAGTAGTAAACCAAGTTAAGTAATCAAAGCGTTACCTCCAAGCTGATTCGGCATTCCTTGCATTTGAGCTCCCATAGGTCCAGTGCCAAAGCCGGACCTCATTGCGCCAGGATTGGCTTGGAAATTACCAGGAAACTGGTGGCCTTGCCCAGCCATGGCAGCAAATCAGTTAATGTTATGTTATGCTATTTAAACATTAAACAAACAAAATTATGGCATACAAATGCAGTAAATGATATTCTATTATGCTTCACTCGGCCTATGTTGTGTTCACAGAACAATAATACGTTGTGTTAGTTAAGGTATGTCAATGTCAAGCAGCGTTGATATCGAAAAAAATCTGTGTTGCCGGATATCATATTCTGATTTGCCGCATTTTGAGGGAAAAGATATTAAAATGCCGTATAATATTTGAAAATCTTTATTTCCCGTTTGTTTCTAGTATCAACGTATGTTAACGTTTCTATAACATGAGATTCATATTTATCTAGCCTTTGCTCTCCTTGCTCCTCATTTTGTTATACATATCGCGCGACTCATTAAACTTCGTACAGTTCCCTAAATTTTGAAAAAGTTGTCTTGCTAATAGTTTTATTTACAATTGATGTCATTAACTTATTTCGCATCTTGGACTTCGTATTGTTCACTTGCCTGAGTAATCTTTCCCAATTTGCATTACTGTGAGAAAGACGTAAAACGTCTAGAACAAACTTCGCTAGATAATTTATCGCCGCATATTTTATTTATTTATTTAATCTTTATGCCTATAACATAGCAATGGCGGACTACTGTTGTCGATATTTTTGTTTTATGTGTTTACTCTTTTTGAACGGAGAAAATCTTCAGAGTCATAATCACTAATTTATCAATATAAATAACCAGTAAACACTAATTAAGGAATTATTTCTCTCAAAACCGTAACAAACGAATGAGCTCGAGTATTATGTTTAAGCTATTCAACTCAAAGAGTCAAAGATAAACCCAATACCAATACGTTGTTTCATTCATTTTTAACTAAAGCGAAAAATATAGCATTATACTCGATACAACATATCATTTTACTTTTGATATTTTTTGATTCGGCTATAAAAGACCCGCCGTATACCGAACATTGTTCGAAAAAAACATGGATTACCGTATATTACGGCAATTGCTGTATCAATAACAATACTGATGTATTTTTTTTATTTTTAACTTGGATGCAAAGTTCTAAAGCCAAAGCTTTGTTAGCACTGTCTTCGATTTTATCAGTTTCAAAAGTTCTTTAATAGAAGATTTTTATATACTTGTTTAAAGGCACAAAATATTCAGATTTTTCCAAGTAGTCTTTTAAGCGGCGGGACACATTATTCACATTTTTACACAGACCACAAACACTCGCGAATACAAGTCTTTGCATACAGAACTGAAAACATCAAATATTGAATGCATAGTCAAGGCATAGCATGAATTTTCAGCTGGGATTACTTATCACAAGATAGAGTAATCCCAGCTGAAAAGAGAGCTGAATGAGATATCAAATACAGAGGCTATTTGTCCCTGTCTAATAGGGCGACAATAACATTTTCATTATGTGAGACTTTTCATGTAATACTTTGTGAGTGGTTAACAAAAATTAAAATCACACTAACTGTTTTCCCGAGACTTTTTTTAACAATTACATATTAGGTATATACATTCTCACTATATGTCAATAATTCTTTCTCTTATCTTTGAACGTCGTTCATATTTCCCCAAACGTCAAACGAAAAATTAAAATCAGTGTTGGCGTCACGGAGTGCGCCAAGGTAAGCTGAAGCCGAACTAAGGTAAAGTCGTAAGGGTAAAGGTAATAACACAACAAAAAATTTAGTTAAGTTTAGAAAATGACTAGCTTATGATAATTTGGTGTGAGTAAATAAAAGATTATTTATATATTAACTAGCAATGCTCTTCGTCCGCGTAGAATAGTGACTTTTTATTTCATTTCAAGGACATAATTAAGTTAAATAAAAAATCGTTACCTTCAGTAAAATCGAAACGCAAAAACACTAACAATTTTTTTTGAGGTCAGTCCCAGATAATTAATAGAAACATGGGGCCAAGTGGATTTTTTGTGCATTTTTTTATTAGGAACATTATATTTATTTTTAGTTATTCAATATTAATGAGGAAGTATTTAAAAAAAAAATTGATTTCGAAATCAAACTAGATGTCGCTACGGTACGTTCTTGATTTCTCCATGACAACCTTTTCGGTTTTCTTTTATATTTAAAAGTAAATTAGTTTTCAAAACTCAATTAACAACTCATATTCTATTTGTACTTTTTCGTATTTGTATTAATATCTAAGGCTCAAACTTTTCAAATTTCAGTTTTTCAATATGTTAGTTAAAAGGAACGGAAATAACTGTCTGGTCCATTCGTTTCCTGCAAAAATCAACTTTTGCTAGGGTTGCCATCTAGTGGAGGTGCTTTTTTAGTGCTTTCGTTTTTAATTACATACTTCCTCATTGTTAGATAAATGAGGTGCTCATGAATTGGGCACAGATCACGGCTGCACATTAGGTTACTACGATTCGTCAAACTCCCCAGTCGATTTTAAGCTATACCTTCAAAACATTAGGTTTAAAATCAAGTGGAAAAAAACAGATATGTATAGCCTGACGTGTTGCTGACTGTACTTTTCAATATCTCCAATAGCAATATACAATCGTGTGTCGCAACGTGATAAAATTTAAGGCATTAGTAAGTTAAATAATGGAACTCATTTAATCAATCTCATATAAATATATACGTTTATAAATTTTCTTCTTTATTTAATCCTCAATGAAAAATGCTTAGAAAATCCACTTTGTCCCTGGTACTCTGAAATTCCGAGTATCCACTCCGAAAACTAGGGACAAAGTGGATTTTCTAAGCATTTTTCATTAAGATAAGAATATTTTCCAGTACAGCATTATCAATGCAAAATTGATCAAATATAATAATATTTTTTTCTTCAATGTTACGTTGGCACAGTTCCAATGTGCGGCGAAAAATTGACAAACTATTTTTTCGGAAGAATGTACCTAATAAAAATAGCTTTCATAGGCGCACTCATTGAAAAAACAAAATAAGACCGTCGTCATTTTATTTATCACCCAGATGATTCTTTACAATAGTCATTTAGAAAGAAAGTCAGTGATTTAGGTTATAACCTATATATATACCTACTAATATTATAAAGAGATAAAGTATAATTTTGTTTATTAGTATATAGCCGCTTAACCCGCTATAGACTATAAATTACGCGGGTGAAGGAAGGCGTGGGAAAACAGCCAGTAAAATGTATTAGACAACATCATATATATTGATTATATTACAAATTAAATAGCTTATTATTAACGAAGATACCACAACAGTCAAATTTGAGACAAAATCATAAAAAATGAACTTTTCTTTTAAGGAGTAACAGTGTAGTGACAACTGTATATGCCATTGATTTGTAAGGAAGACATTACACTAATAATTTTAGAATTCGGGCAGATAGTACAATAGCAAAATGCGATAGTACAATGGCAAAGTCTCAACTTGACATTTTATTGAGATGCGATTATTACGTAAAAATATGTAGAATTGAGGACAAAAACAGAGACCATTCATCCACGGAGACATGTGTATATGTATAGTTAATTAGAATATTTTTTAATGTCTATTCTTGACCAATCTGTGTGTGGATAGCCAACACGTACTTACGTCAAAAGTCATAAAAAGGAAATTGCCCATCGTAGTATGAAATTTGGTTTCGCATTGTATCATGACGTAACTCGCCTCCCTTTTTAAGGTTTCAAAAGTACATAATCATTCATAACACATTTCATATATCGTTTGTAGGATTTGTGAGATAATATCCGGTTTCTGAATTAAGAATTTAAAGTTAAAAACGTCTCAAAGTAAATAGGCTTTCGTTATTATTTTAGTTTTTTTAATGATCAATTCATAGCAGTTTGATAAAACTAGTACATTTTCACTTCTGAAACTTATAAAACTTAAGTTTTTAATAATAATCAGTTGAAATTTTGTACGAGTGAGTACTTTACAGAAATCTGCTGTATTTTTTTATATAATTTCAAATCAATTTTGCTCGATATCTATTATCGGATTTATAATGAAATGGAAGAATATGTTTTCATAAAAAATCCTTAAAACATCCACCAGCCTAAGGTAAGGATGACACGATACGAGTATATACAAGTACTTACTACTATCAATACTTCATGACCGATACGGTATCGAGTAAAAGTATCGATAGGTACCTAGGTAGTATCGTTTCACACCTAGCCCCTGGTACCCCGAGGTGTGACAAGAACCCACAACTTTTCGCAATTTTTAATTAAAAGATCAGCATTGAGAATACAAATTGATCAAACATATCAACATAAGAATTTTATACTGGCATCATTAATAAAATTGGTTTTTATTTGCTTTGATGCCTTGTGCTACGGTAGCTAACTGTTTAGGTTGATGGCACAGAAATAGATCTAGTTAGAAGGAACATGTTCGTCGATTTATATGGAGACCGAGCGTGCCCCATTTTATGTAGGTATCATGACGTCACGAACTTAATTTAGTGATGGAAAACATAATTTCTCTTCAATCGAATACATGTTGTATTTGAAACAGCATACCAATTCTTATCGATTTAAAAACCGATATCGAACGACGGAGACCAATGTGTAACATTTTGCTTAAATATTATGTATATGTCACGAATGTAATTTAGTAAAACTGCACAAAATAGTACGTGCGGTGGCGTGACGGAGTCAGCGTAGTTGACGATCAAAATATCGGACCTTTGTCTTCATTGTGAATAGAAATAAGTATATTCCTCTGTCTAATATTATTAGTGTGACCAAATCATTTTACTTATACCGCATACCTAATATCATATTTTTATCAGTAAGAACCGACAGCTAAAATGATAATTAGTTTTGACAGACAAAATGATAATACTAACGTATCGATAGAAAAAAAATGAGAAAGTCACAGACTTCAATTTAGAATTCAATATAAGTCGATTAATTGAGATCGAGATTGCGTCAATGACTACAAAACTAAATGGATCAATAATTTATTGTCACAATAATACAGTATCACATACTTTATATCAATATATGTTCAATACAAAAATACTCTGAATTTTATGATAATACTTACCATTTCACACTTTCTCTTCCTGAGCTTATCTGAACAAGATGGGTCTATCTGCGGCACAAATTGTATTACATTCATTAATTATATAAAACAAAATATTATAAAACAAAGTAACTATTTCATTTTCTATTTGCAGTAAAGTCAA